CCTTGACAATAGCTTTACGAATATCGTTTCAGTTAATTTGCAAGATTTTATTTGGTTGCTGAGAAATCGCTTTGTGAATTTTGCGAAAAGTTGTTAGAATGTGAAAATACCGGGCTTCCTGTGCTTTTTGAAAATAAGTTAAAGAAGATATGTTCTTTAATGACGAGAAAGCCCTTATTGTCTTCTTTTTATCATATTATTTTGGTGTACATCAAGTTATTGTTAGCTTCAAAAAAGACAAAAACTTTCTGTGGGGTGTTTTGCGAACGAGCAACGCCTGGCGGATATTTGAAGTTTTTACACTTTTTTATTTTCCTCATATTTCAAAAAATTGTTTCAGAATCAAACTGTATTTAAAACAAACCTTACCTTTAATGAGTTCGTGGCCCCCCCCGAGGGAAGTTTGTAGACGATCTAACCCTCCTAGAGATAGTGCCAAGGAACTCTCCACCAGTCATGAACTTCCTCGTGGAGGACATCCATCAGTATGCGAACAGTCATAACATGAGATTAAATCCAAAAAATGTAATACAATGGCGGTTGACGTTCTTGAGTATAACAGCTGCGTGTGGAGTCCCATTGTTATCGGCAACACGGTCGTGAAGCGCGCGAGCGAATTTAAACTACTCGTTATCGTCATTTCGCACGACCTTACGTGGGACGTACATTGTGCAGTTATACTCAAGAAAGCCAACAAAAGGCTACATGCGCTTCGCCAACTTAAAAAAAAGTGGTGTGTCTGAGAAAGATTTAGTTGCTGTGTATTGTACACTAATCAGATCGGTGATCGAGTACGGCTGCGTCGTTTTTGCAAACATGACAAAACGGCTTTGTAATGCGCTGGAAAAAATTCAAAAACGAGCCCTGTCTATAATCTACCCGGCAATCAGTTATGATGATGCTCTTGCAAAAGCAAATCTTGTCAGTCTTGAATGCCGCAGGCACGACCTTTGTTATAAATATATTAATAGTTTGCCTGAAGATCACCCAGTAAAGAAGATTATATATGCAAGAACAGTGGATATATCACAACATTATGAGCTACGCTCGAATGCTAGCCGTCGCCTTGCTCCTGCTCGTACAAACAGATTTAGCCAATTCGTATCTGTAAAATATTTGAATGTCTAGTGGCGTGCTGTGTATAATTTTATTTAATGTTTCGTCCGCTTACTGCTATTGCACTGTTCCTGTAATTCAGTCATGTAACCTTTTAGTGACTGCGAAAAGAATTAATAAACACATATTATTATTATTATTATTATTATTATTATATAGAGCTCTCATCTTCTACATTAGAGAACTTTTCAAAATCATTTTTAGTTGCGGAGAAGTGAAAGTCGTTAATTTCGCCTCAAAATATAGCTTTTTCGAGTTTGAATGAAAGATGACAATCTTCAGAGACTGCATCATTTTAATGAAGCACATACCATTAGAAAACTTGTCATGAGGGATCTTTGAAACTGCAGTTAGTTTTTGAAAATCGAAAAAGACCACACCCAATTTAGAACTGTGCTTTGTTTTCCCACCTTTTTAAAGTAGGAAAAAAAAAAAAAAACAAAAACCTCTAGAAACCAAAGTAAGCGACAACATTTTTAGAGCAACGCTAAGATTTTTCAAAAATGTTTCTCGAAGTATTTTTACAGCCTTATTGGACCAGGAAAGCCTGGTAGGTGTGATAAAAACTGATAAAACGTCAAAGACCATAAGAAATAATTTTAAAATAGGTTTTGAAAATCCATTTATGCTTAAGTCGTAGCGTTGTTCTAGCTATATTATGGTCAAAATTCGTTTCGATAAGAGGTTTAAAAGTGGGGAAAACAAGGCACAGTTCTGAATTTGGGTGAGGCCTTTTTAACTAAATTAATCACGATTTATTACGGTTTTCTGCATCAAAACAAGTAATCGAGACAATTAAAAATGTAATTTGTAAAATAAAAATCGCGTATTAATTTGATTTCATTGGACTGGAGATTTTAGTTTTCAATACTGTAATACCACAAAAACAAGATCAGTTCAGTTAATAAAACTGAAATTTTATTTGGATTTGCTCGGGTTTATATATATTTCTACTCTATATGACAAGGTTGATAATGCATTGTATTTGCGTGCACTTTTAACTGACTTTGCTTTATTTTTACTCGTTTTCGTTCTCGCTTTTTTGACATTCTAGGTTCTGATTGGTCAGGGTGAATTTTGACGGTGGATGTTTTTTCAGGAGATCAACAATTAACTGGCAGATCCCATCTTTGTTAATGTGCTCTTTATCAGAAAATTCGATGCCTCCCTTGAACCTGCTTTTCATTGCGTTGACCAGCATTCTTGTATCGATTTCCTTTGGCATTGGACTTTCTGTTGGGATTGCCAAATATGAAAGACTCCAGTATGCATCTGGCCAAGGTCTTTCATTCTTGAAATAGACTCTTATGACGTTCCCGTCAGGATGAGGCCATATATCGACACGTGATTCATCTCTTTTGATTGGCAAGGTCAGTTTGTATTCCTTCTTCGCTCCATATGAGACAATAATGGGCCAGGATGGTAGGCGACCATCTTTGTCGGTTTTGGTGTCCAAGTAGATGTCACAGTTCATGATAATCGTTACTTTCTCGGCTTTCTTAAAGATCAGCTTTTGACAGTATCCTCCATTTAATATTAGGAACTCTTGCTGTTTTGAATCTTTGGCACAAATACGTCTATTCATGTTGGCACTACCACATTTGTAGAAGTGTACTTCGTCTGGATTAACACCAGTAATGATGATGTTGTGATGCATCCTTTGAAGTTCAACTACTTCTCCAGATCCAACTCCAACAACTACTGTGTTGATTCGTACTAAAGAGAACCTGTCAGCAACTTTAACGATCACTTTTCCTGATCCTTCAACAAAATTGTTAGCAAAGATGATACTTTTTGAGGACATTTCCCCAAGTCTGTAGGTTTTGCCTTTTGTTTTGGCCAAGACAATATTTTCACCATTTCCAACATAAATTTCATTGCCGATATCAGACGAGAGCTCCGTTGAATCAATGTACGAGTCGTAATCTTGTCCAAGCTCACTTTCAATGTGTCTGAGTTGCTCATAAATGAATTGCACTGTTTCCTTCGTCGACTTGCGCTCGAATTCACCATCACTTTTTCTAAAGAGAATCGCTGGAAAACGCTGGCCAAAATCTAGTATATGGTCGAGTAAATTGGTTTTGTGTTCAAGCCTTTTCCAGTTTTGATCAATAAAGACAATGTTATCGGAGCTATCCTTGAAGAGCAGTTCATCATTTTTAATAGTGACCTTCAACTCGTCGAAGCTTTCTATGGACTCAAATCTTAAGACATTTCCATAATCATCTTCCTTTATTGTGGCAGTGCTTCCTTTTGTTGTGAAAGATACTCGAATAACTTTAGCCCTGTTTCTCTCCAAGTCATTAAAGTTATTACCGGGCTCAAAGATAAGTTTTCTTTTGGTGTTATCAATTTTTAAAGAGCCTAAGTTTTTGTTGTCGTCACCTTCGGCTGGGATGACTTCAACAGAAGCCAAGACAATGTCGCCATGGTCATCTTGTAAGAGGTCGATCTCAAGTCGTTTCTCTGATGGTTTCCATTCGCCAAATATGGTTGTTCTACATCTGATGGTCTCACCGTCATCTCCCATTATAACAGAAATCGTTAAAACGTCCTTCACCTGAGGGGCCATGAATAACGTACGTGTCTGCACCTTTTCCACCGTTCAAGATGTGTCTACCACGTCCACTCACCAAAGTATCATCTCCATCTTTGGCATCAATGGTAGTTTCTCCTCCAACAGCCATCAGAAGGTTTGCCTTGTCATTGCCAATGATTTCCTTGCACGATGGCGTACCGATAACATTTCTAGCGTTTTCCATTATTCTACCAGGTCCTTCCGACGTGTATATTCTACCGGAATCTGAACCAGGACCGGTGCCAATTTCTATTTTGGTAACTTTGTATTCTGAATCGCTGTAATATTTAAACGAAATAGTGTTCATTACGTCAACACCAAAAGTTATTTTGTAGGTTTTCTTCAGACTTCTCAACAAGACTATTACGTCCCTTTCACTTTCGTCAGGACCTTCGAAAAGGTTCGTCTCGTCAAGTATAAAACGACTCGCCCCACTATAATATTTAGCACTAAAAGACACTAAACTACGACAGCCACTGGGTGGACGATGAACTTCCACTGTTTTTATGTTCTTTGCGTAAATGAGATGTGGTTCCATAATGCGGAAATTTTTTTCACTGTTCAATTTCACATCTAAGTCTAGAAGAGCCCAGTTCTGATAAAACTGTTGTAGTCCCCCCGGACACGACTCTGGAGTTTTCATGAACTGTACTATCAGTGTATTCTCTCCACTACCTCCTACGATGTATTTAGCCCATTTAAATCCCCCGTCAGGAAATCCGTCAACCTTCACTTGATGTTCTGGCATAGTCGTTCCAACAGAAACAACGTTGTCTCCTTTATTAGTGTAAACTACGTCACCAAGACCATAAGACAAGTCAATTACGTTATGTTCGTTATCACCGATGATAGTTGTAGGGATGTAATTTGATGGGCTTAGGAGATCAGCAGGTGGTGAGCCAGCTACTTTTTCAAACTTGTCAGATAAAAAGCTTCTTTTAAAAGCAAATGTCAAAAGAGCCTTAATCTTTTCACCGTCTGTGTACTGTAAACGATCGTTCTTATAAACAGCAAATGTTGTGTCCAGATTTTGGAGTACATTTTGGCAATAACTCACGAACTTGGTGTCTTTGCCGCTGCCATAAGCTAAATACATGGAACTTCCATCAAAGAAACACTTTGCCATACCCATATCAGCTAAGAACCACATCTGTTTATTTTTTAGTTTCTCCCCCCAGTTGTCAAGAGGTACAAACGGCAAAAAGGCGTAAAATCGAGTAAACAGAGAGTGGAGCTCTGAATTTTGCGGTATTGCTGCTTTATGAATGGACTCATCAAATCCATCAGGCCAACCTTGAAAGAGGGATCACAAACTGATCCCCGATAATCCCTGCTTTGTGTCTCCTTTTGCATGTCTCATATCAAGATAAATCCCCTTAACTGCTGAGACTTTTGAAGGATTCATTTCCCATTGCTTGCCCATTGTTATATACGGGGCTTTCCAGTATTTGTCGTCGTAGATCAAAGATTCGCCAGATAACTCTAAGGTATCGTCCCCCTCACCTCCTTCACATTTCAAATCAACAGCAGGCTCACAGTTAATCATGTCATCACCTGTTCCACCTAGAAGAACATCTCGTCCTGTTCCACCGTTGAGGTAATCATTTCCTGGACCACCATAAATGGTATCATCTCCTCCTCGTCCAAACAGCATGTCATCGCCTTCGTCGCCAAAGATTTCATCTGGACCAAAACCGGCTATAATTTCATCATTATTAAGTCTTCCTTTTAAAGTTTTGCCGAAAGACGTTGCATCTAGCAATGCTATGCGATGTTGTGGATTATTGAAATCCTCTTTGGCTTTATCAGTGAGGCACTTGTTGATATTCTTGGAGACTTCTCGCAGGGTTTTGGTGTCAGCTTCGATACCTGCCACTTCTGCATCTACAATGTATGTAAATACATCAAAGCCTCGTTTCTTGTATGTCTGTGCCATGTCATCTACGTACTTTTTAAACGCATCAGAATTGATGTAAGCATTGAATTCGTCGGTCACTCTTTGTTTAGTGGATCGGAAGTCTATCAAGTCAGCAAAGAACCCAAGCACTGTGTTGACAACTTGCAAGACTGTATTACTGACAAGGTCAATGATTGGTGATAGCGGTGGGAATACAAAGTCTGTGACTAAGCTTGCTCCGTCCAGAATCAAAGTTATTACATCAATAGCTGCCATTACTCCATACATGGCGGCCTTGCCGGCATTTCCTTGCATCATAGCATCATTCGCGGCGATTGCATTCTTGGCAATTGATGTTGCAGTTGTTCCCATGGATATCATACCACCAATTACTGGTGCGAACCGTTGTGCTTGTTTCAGGAGCTTTAATCCAGCTTTAGAACCTTTATCTACGATAGTTTTTTGGAGTCTTTTACCGACAAATTCACCAACGTTCTTAACACCGTTTGCGAGACCAAAGCTTCCTTGAGCTACTCGAAGCTGACCATTTCTCATCATCGTATCATATTCATCCTCTGAAATGGCTCCCGACTTTCTTAGTTCTTCAGCTTTGTCGATCATGTCACTTCCACCTGCTACATCAACCCCTCCTTGTGCAAAAGTGAATGCTGTAGTAGATGTCTCAATGCCACTGCCGACTTTTTTCATAAATTTTCTTGCATATTTCTTCGCTGATTCTCTTACTTTCATCTGTAATATTTTCTTCTGAGTATTAAAGTTCTGCTGGGTCAACTTCTGCTGATTACTGGCACCGCTGACTTTCTTGATGTTGTCAAATGATTCGTCGACAACTATGTCTTGGACGTCTTTCATTCCTACTCTCTTTGCTCGAAGATCTGAGTCAGTTTCAATGGTATTTTCAACTACTATCTCCATATCCAGCTTTCTAAGTGCCTCAAGCTTCGCGTCCCGCTTCAGTCTAAATTCCAGAGCATTGACCTTATAATTCATGCTGTCCATCATATCTACAAAAATAACAAAACGCCTCATCAGATATAGCTTTGTCGATCATGTCACTTCCACCTGCTACATCAACCCCTCCTTGTGCAAAAGTGAATGCTGTAGTAGATGTCTCAATGCCACTGCCGACTTTTTTCATAAATTTTCTTGCATATTTCTTCGCTGATTCTCTTACTTTCATCTGTGATATTTTCTTCTGAGTATTAAAGTTCTGCTGGGTCAACTTCTGCTGATTACTGGCACCGCTGACTTTCTTGATGTTGTCAAATGATTCGTCGACAACTATGTCTTGGACGTCTTTCATTCCTACTCTCTTTGCTCGAAGATCTGAGTCAGTTTCAATGGTATTTTCAACTACTATCTCCATATCCAGCTTTCTAAGTGCCTCAAGCTTCGCGTCCCGCTTCAGTCTAAATTCCAGAGCATTGACCTTATAATTCATGCTGTCCATCATATCTACAAAAATAACAAAACGCCTCATCAGATATTTCAGTTAATTAGAGAGCTGGGTAGAGGTTCACTTCTTGTCTATAGCCGGGTGCAAATAGTTTTATTAACGAGATTAATGGACACAGAAATTAGTGGTGAAATTTCTGGCATTTGCAGGGAAAATAGATTCTTGCGTATAAACAAGGAATTGTCCCATAATTACCTTGATAAAAATATTAATGGAAATGGTTTAAAAAATCATACAAACAGTCCAATCACGGAAGGCACGCGCGCCTCTAAAATGGCTTACCTTGATCGTGCCGTCCGCCACATTGGACGCGCCCTAAAATTTGGGAAATTGGAAGCGAATTTGACGATGACCTAACGGCCTATTTTTAGAGATTCTAGACTGCAAGCAGTCCTTTTTTGGGCGAGTCTAGGCTCAGCGGGACTGGTGAGAGTGAACGGGCCGAGGCGGGAACTGTGACTGCACTCTCCGACGTGCTTAAATTTCCCCGCAGACCCAGCATCGGAGAACTGGATTGGCTAAGAAACATTAAACACTTGTGAACACGTTGTCATCTACATTTGACAAATTTTAACATGCTGACACATTAGTTGTCACTGCTATCGACGGATACACAAAATTTCGTCTCAGGTTTAGAAGAAGCAGTAAGCAGTTGAAGTGCGTTTAGCAGAACGCTACGGAAGGCTTACTTGAAGAACGAACAGATTAAGGTTGCGCCTTTTCTTTCTGGAAGAGACGTCTTATCCATTTTATCGACGGTTTAGGAAAATCTGTTATTTACCAAAGCTTCGTGCTCGCGACAGATCTTTCTGCAATCATTGTCATCGTTCCTCTTTTAAGCATTATAGACGATCAACTTCGATCAAACGACTTTGGACTGAAAGCAGTTACTTTCGAAAGGAATCTATATTTGTCAGGATGTCTGCGGTCAGTTTGCAAACGTCTAGCGGACAGCTCGCAAACGTGTATACGTCAGTTCGCAAACGTCATAAACGTAGAAAACGACTCTATAGAAAACCAGTTAATATCTAGTTGATTAATGACCATATGAATATAAGGTCTTTTCTTTTACAGAGGCCCATGTTATTGCAAAAATTACCTGTGACCAAACTTTGGGCATCTCCTGGAAAGCCAGACATAAAACCACCAAATGTAGATCCAGCTCCTGAGATGTAGTTACTGTATCTTATCAAGTCGTTTTCTGCATCGGAACTTTCGCCAGTAATTACTTCGCCCCTAAGACCGACATCTTTGATGGGATTATCATCTTTTTGAAGTTCTGGCAAATTGGATCCTACATACAAAGAAAGAAAGTGATAGTTTGGGTGCGCAGGGCAATGTATACTTGTCTTTGTCGAAAAGGAAAACAGCCCAAACAACATTTTTGGTTTTATTTTCTTTTGCTAGTGACAAATTCAGTCTTTCGTGATTCAGAAAAGTGTTGTGTGTCGTGTCGTGTCGCCGGTGGCTTGGCGTGGCGTGGCGTGGCGTTGCGTGTCGTGCCGTGGCATGGCATGTAATGTAGTCGGGCGTGGCGTGTGGTGTCAGACATGTCGTGTTGTGTGGTGTTTTGGTGTGGTTTGGTATGATATGGTATAGTATGGTATGGTGTGCCGGGTGTGATATGGTATGTTACTATACAGTACAGTATGGTATAGCATTGTGTGGTATGATGCAGTATCTACTTTATTTGAAATGGTCATATTACATATGGTATAGTAAATGTTTTTCCAATTTATAATGCCATTAATAACAATATTTGAAACATACCTATTGTCATGATGTTTCTTTCATTGTTTATTCCTTCATTAAACTCATTGAGCAGTTGGATGAAGTCAGGATCTCGTTCCAAATCGGTCAAGCTTTCATAGAAACAGTCGTTCAACGGCTTTCCTTGTGCCTCGCTTTCCTTCTTCAGTAGGTCAGAAATACTTTGAATAATGGCGATTGGATCAAAGCGTGTACCTTGTTTCCTCCACGCAAATGAGATGTCACTTAACATATTGTTAGATAAGCCAGTGAACCATTTGGCCTGGAACGATGTCCCCAATAATTCTCCTATTTTATCGCTTTCATCGGTTTCGTCGTGATGCACTGAGATGTTTTTGAACGCCACAGCTCTCTGAAAAGTGTTAAAAATTACACAGAGACACAAAAGCGTGCAAAATTGTCAGTGTAAATGAAGTTGGATCTACTGATTAGGGTGGGTTGATTCTCAAATTCTCGTCACCGTTTCTCTATGGGATAATATTTAGTAAAATTACGATTGGTGGTACTCGTTTAAGAAAAAAATACAAGTTCGCGTTAAAATTAATATGTTAAACTTGCATAGTTCACAAAAGTTTAAATTCAGGTCAGTGTCATATCATTACATCTGTTAGCCTGGATCAGCTAGAAATTTTATAATAAGTAGGGTCTTAAAAAACGGAACGATTAGCAGTTGAAAAATTGACCTTCAATTTCTTTCATAAGTCCTCAACTAGAGTCTTGAGGAATTGGAAGTCTTTCGATCGTCATATCTTGATTTTTATGAACATTGAAAATCACATTTTTGGTCTAAGAAGTAACATTCTTAAAACACTTCCCACTGTAACGGCTGGTTCTCACTAGGACATTAGCATAAGCATAAGCAACATACGCAGACGCAGTAACTTGTTGTTAATTAGTGCCTTTTGTCCTAACAAAGGGTACGTTTGCGTATGTTGCTTATGCTTATGTTCCTAGTGAAAACCAGCTTTAAAAGGCCTTATGAGATGATATTCAATTCGTGGGGAGTATCAAGTAAGCCTGGCAACATCAAAGTTTCAAAACGTTAATTAATATAGAATTTCATGTTTCTAAAATTGCTACAAATCGGGATGCAACAAAGACAAAATGGATGGAAAAAAGTATGCTTTTTGTAGTATATATGAAATAATTCATATTTGTACTG